TATATATATATATATATATATATATATAAAAGCGTTGACTTTGGCTCATTGTTTATGCAAAATTACATTACACCGTAGCATACTTGGAATGCATGGAACAGACCGAGGCCGAGGCTGAAAACAAGTCAGTAACTTCGGTCATCACGTTTGTAGAAATGTTGGTGTTTTGTGTTTACGTTGTCATTGTATCCCTGTCTTTAATGTGACTGATGTGGTTTTTATCTGACTGACTGATGTGGTTTTTATCCAATCTGCCTCTCTCAGTGCAAACACATCTTGGCTGTCTACCTCTCTGAGGCCATGGCTGTGACGCAGCAGGAGAGTGTGACTGACCAGCAGATGACCATGCTGCTACGCAGGACATCAACTCCCTGAAACCCAGGTTTTTCTCTTTGATTACTTCAGTTGTCCCGTGAGGGTCTGTGTTTCACTCCTTTTGGCCACTGCAGGGAAAGATGGCAGCGTTGTTCTTCTCTTAGTGACATGACATTTTTAAAAATGGTATTAATGCTACTGGTTTGTTGACCAGTGCAGCTTTGGGTTAAACCGCATCCCCCCCCAAAATGAATTTCACATCGATTGCTATGGAAGTGTGAACTTTGCGTCGCATTTTTTCTTCATGTACAAAACCATCATTTTTTTACCTAATCATTTAAAGCGTTAAAGCTCAAATCTCATTGGATGTTATTCTTCAACTGTACTTTACTTTATACTTTTCAGACGGAACAAATACAATTTTGAAACAGACAATACTTTACAAGGTATCTACAAATAGCATATTAACTGATCTCAGGTGTAGGTGTCAAATAGGACTTAAAAGAACATTCTGCAGCTGAATATTATAATACATTTTATGTACATTTATAAAGACTTTCTAATGTTTTTTCTAGTAGGTTTGAAGGTCATATAAAGCATACCAACAGTTCCAAATGTTTGGACCATAGTTATTGAGAAACCCAAATCATTTACATGACAAGAATGCGTAAAAAAAAAAAAAGTTCAGTTCCCAAATAGACCAAATGTCAAAGTAAAAAAAAAAAAGGAGCTTTGGATTGGACATGCCTAATATACAAGACCTTAATGAGGCCATTGAAAAGGACCAGATGTTATTTGTTTTTCTTTTCAAGTACGACCTCAGATCCCTGTCCAGGAAAACATCTGTTCACTAACTCTAGAATGTGTATTTTTCCTCTGTTTGGCAGTTTATTTTGTTAGCAGTTTACATTGATTTCCAGATGTATTCATTTATTAATCATTATTCATTTTTGATCACGATGAATCACAGTCAGGTTTAATTAAGAACAATTCAAACCTAAATAACTGGAAATTTAGCTTCATATAGTCGGTGGCATTTTAGTCATTACTGTGCATGTTGACGGCGGCTCATTCAGTGTGACCTCCTTTCACATGTCCCGCCTCGTAGGCAATGCACGAACCTTCATCTTCGTTTATCCTCAAATAAATCGCCACATTGTTTTCATTGAGTTTACGTCCTAGAAAGCAAGGCTTTTGTATGGTCGAGTATTAAGTTAAAATAAGTGCATGAATCATTCTGCCCCGTGCATTAAACATTTTGATCAGATTCATCTTGACAAATGAATGAACACAATTACCGCCTTGATTACGACACGGCTATTGAATATATTTTTAATAAATACAAGGGTTTAACAATATTACAAAATATTTCACCGTACATACAGATCGCATCTTGTTAAATAGCAGTTTCAGTTTGCCGTTGTTGAAAGGAGAAAAAAAAGAAAAAAAGAAGATTTAACAAAGTTTGCAAGAAAAAAAAAGAAGATTTAACAAAGTTTGCAAAAGCTTTGCCACACGATGTTTTCGGAAGAAGTAAGGTCACTGTACTGTAGCAAAGTCACGGATCTGAACAAAGCGGCAGGAATGTTCAACGCCTTAGCCTTAAACAACATGTAAGGGCAATAGTCTGACATTTGACCGTAGCTCGGAGAAAGCTGGGAAATCTACAGTACTTCATTTTACATCGGTTAACATCAACGAGGGAAAAATACAGTTTGACAGTGCATTTACAGTATAGCTGTCTCCATTGGAATGTACTAAAATGGTGGCACACTCCTGTGTTTTAAGCCCTTAAAGTCAAGTCAGAGATGGTGCACCGGACACATCAGCACACCGTGGGGGGGGACAGTGAAACAGTAGCACAGTGTTTGACATGAGTACAAATACCAACGTGGTATAATTTAATATTGAGCATAGCCAAGAGAGTAGAGTAGAAATGTCTGTGCATTGTGTGTTAGTGTTAGGGTAGTACTCTGATATATCTAACGTGACAAAAAAAAAACAACCCTCGGCTATTTTCGCAAAGCAATAGGGCCATAGATGGGACTCTGCTTTCTCTGGGCGACATTTACCATTTTAAAAATAGCTAAAACACCAACTTTTGAGGATGCGGTTGACCATCATACACCAGCAGGGGGAGGAAAATCAGGACATCCGGTGCCTTAAGATGTGACTCAGATTGAGTCAGCTGTCTCTGCACACACACCACAATGCACTGTTACAGATAATGTTGCCCAATTACCACCTGGGCTTGAGAAGTAAAGACTGCATTTAGTGGTGCGATCTGAAATTAGCTTAGCGCAGTACACATTTTTAAATGTGAGCCATTTTAATCTTTTCAAACGTAATCCAATAAATCTATCTTCTGTCCACCAGGGACAGCAGTGACATCAGCAGCTTAGTGACAAGTGACTGAACAAACAGAGCACAGCCTCAAGATCCCAGCTGCGACCATCCGAGTGAAGGCCAAGGGTCTCCGAGGGCAATGACATGCGCAATAAACTGAATGACTGCATTGAGACTGGGATTTCACAGGCAAGTAGATACATGTGTGCCAGAACACTGAAGGCCGGGGAGGGGGCAAAATAAATCCAAAATGGCTAGACATCATCTAGTGTGCAATGATACAGACACAGTATAAATGTTTTGATGTGATGAAATACGCCTATAAATAGAACCTTGACGTCCTTTCTTCCTGAGCTTTTGTCTAGAGAAACGTGTGTGTGTGTGTGTGTGTGTGTTTTGCCGAACAACTTTATGGTTCTGTGTGACCAGAAGAAATCAATGTTTTTCCATAGAAAATGCTGGTTCTGAATCTTGGTCATCGGGGTCACAGGACATTTCAGTGACCCATGGCTTTAAGAGACGATTCACAGGGAAATGTTTTCTTTTGTATTTATGTTTCAACCTTGTATGAAATCCAATTGAACGTTTCTTGAATTATCGGTTTGTTTTTGATCCCTCTCTATATCGCGGTTATGCCATACAGTACATCGCAGATTTTTTGTTTTATCCAATCTCGTTAATCTTAATTTTCGCTATATTTGGGTGTCTTACGGCAAATAAAATTTATAAAATTATTTTCATTATTTTCGTGAAATATAATAATTTTCTAGCCTAAAAAAGGGAAACAAAAATACAATAAATAAACAAAAAGACATTTGGCAACACACATACAGGGCAATGCAGAAAATGTATATAGTGGTGGCTTAGTGGTTAAGGAAGTGCACTTGGGTCCGGAAGTCGAGTCCACCAGCTTGCGAGTTACATGGTACCGTCCCCACACACTGTTCACTTTGGTGATGGGTTAAAAGCAGAGGTCACATTTTGTGGTGTGCTGTGTCACAATTACAAGAAGTTCACTTTCCTTCAGTGAGCATTTACTTAATGTAGGGCAATGGCCTAAGTTGGACACAGAAGGCAACTGTTGTTGTTCGACTGTTGATAACAGTGTGGGGAGGATCGTAAAGGGTAAATATATATATACGTCAATAACATGATCGCTACTACCGCAATATGAGAGGGATCACTGTATTCTAAATATATATAATGATATGGCAGCTACACAGAAGACGTACATCGTTATCCAATCTGTGTTTAGTGTTGGTCAAGAGAATTTTTTTCCCTTTTTTTTTTTTTTTTTTAAATATCATTTTTACATTCTCAAATATATACGTTTCTTAACCCTCGTGATGACCTTTTGTGTCTCGTTGCACGGCTTGTGCCAACTTTTCCCTCACACTCTGATTCTGGGACAAGATGCAAAAACCTGTTCCGAGGACGCTGGGTGTGTACAAAATGCAGGATTAAACAATAAAAATAATAAAAAGGAGGCTTAAATAAATACAATGATAAACACTATCTTACAAACACGACGTGATGATGTAAATTAACAGGGAAGTCATAACGAGGAAAAAAGGTAATATTTTGGGGGGGGGGTTTTCGTGGTTACGACGAATCCAGTTAACTTCAATTCTTCAGAATATATGTTACACGAGACTCATAGGCATAGCCCATGTGTCACTGTTTACCCCTGAAGAGTTGACACGATTCAAAAGTCCACATTCAAGGTGTGTTTGACCTAGGTTCATCTTTACCCACAACACCTTTGTTCTGTAAACATTGTAAACCTTCGATCGTCGACAAAAAAAAATCAAGAGACGACAACGGAGTTGATGGACAAACATCTCCTACAGCAGAGGGTCGATGGTCATGTGGATCTGGTCCCTGTTGCGCTTACTTCCGTTGGAGCTCGAGTACGGCTCCTCCTTGCGGCACAGGATATGTTGGGCCAGGATCTTGCGAAAAGTGTTCCTGAAGTCCTGGATGCGGTACGCATAGATGATGGGGTTGACTGCAGAGTTGGCATGGGAGAGAATAATCGCCACAAACATGACATACTCCGGCTTCTCCAGCTGATCGTAGAACAGCGTGAGACAGTTCAATATGTGGACGGGCAGCCAGCAGAGGGCGAAGAGTCCCACGATGATGGAGAGGGATTTGGCAGCTCGGATCTCCTTCTGCAGGAAGCCGTGGTGGTGGCTGTCCCCGTTTCCGACACACTCGAGTTCAATTTGCCTCAGCTGCTTCCTGGCCACAGTGAAAATCTTTAGGTAGATGCCTAACATAATGAGGAGCGGCAGCAGCACGCAGACGAAAAAGTTGAAGTAGACCATGTATTGCATGTCCACCACACTCTCAAAGAAACAGTTCAGTTTGCAGCTCCACGGCGCACCAGCGTCACTGCTAATCAGGCTAGAAGTGTTTGAAGTGTTTTCGCTGCCAGAGCGGCTTTTCCCACAAACAATGTGTTTGTGGTTCCAGCCAAAGAACGGGATGAGTCCAATGACAAAGGAAAGGATCCATAAAATAGCAATGATCTCACGGGCGGTCTTTCCTGTCATCAGCTCCTTGTACCTACAGCAAAAAAAAAAAAAAAAAAATCAAAAAATATTAAACCTTTCAATTATAATTAAAACAGTACATTTCAGTATTCTGTAAAAGGCAAAGATTTTAAGAAGCATGTTTAGGTTAATTGGACTGCAATGACTGCACTTTTCTATTGTACTCTATTGGTACTTAATGTGTATACAGTAAATATATGGGGTGGGGTGGGGCATGAGGGGCTTCCAATTGAATGTGGCAAGCTGGACATATGTGTACCACTGCTGTAATTCTTAAATGATGAAGAAGCCTCCAGTCACTAGGTGGCAGCAACCCATACAGTGGTTTGTACTGATAAAAAAAAAAAACATGTTATGAGGTTCTCAATAGTATTTAAATTCACTGGGGGCGTGAAAACATTTCTCTCCCCAAGGGGGCGGCATGACAGAAATTAAGGGTTAAAGGTTAAAAATTAAACTTTAAAAAATAAAATTGTTAATGATAAAATGAAGTTTACCCAAGACAAAAGGCTGGACGAAATGCATGAAGTATGTTTTATCAACAAGTCATTTCCAGGTAATTTTAGTTGTAGCTCTGACAGTTAGGTCTGATTAAACAAACAGTGGCGTCAGTGTTACCTAGCCATGCGACACTGCTTGCCCTTACTAACATGTCTTAGTCAACAAAGGATGATGTTTCGTCACAGTTAGTGGCTGATTCCCAAACCACAGACGCATGATAAGGACAGACGTTAACACGACGCATATCAGGTCTGAACCTGGCTCACTGAACATATCTATCGGAATAATTCCATTTATTATATATTATATTTATTATAATAATTCCATTTATATTGAGTATTGTTGGAATGTGCTAAAGGAACATTTTGATAATTTTGTTTTTTTCTTCTGAAACATTAATATTCATGTATGCAGTATCCTTTTAGATCTTTCCAGATTTTAGTTTTGTTTAGTTCACAGTCATAGCCATAAATGCAATGGTACTAATAATTGCTAATGAATAATCGTTTTTGGCCAAGAATCTTCAGTTCGGTGCATCACTATGCGATTCCCGGAGGTACAGCGTACTTTTATATAAAAAAAAAATTACAGATTTAGTAGGGAAAAAACTTGTTATCGGAATTGTTATCGGTTTTTCCTCTGATAATGAAAACCCAGTAACGCAATGCCTTGCTTTCTCCAAATGATGTGTTCTAAAAATAGTGCAATAAAGTTCTACATGGTAGGTAAGGTCAAGCAACTTAGATAAATGACATGTAAAAGTCATGCAAAAAGGCTAAAATGTTAAATTGCTTTTATCATTTTCTACACCATCTATTGGGGAAATCTGGGTATTGCAGGGAACAGGCAGAAAAGCTAAACGGTTTGTAGCTAGCCATGATAGGTCAACAGATGTCATGTCAGTGTGCAAATTAGTGGAGCAGGGAACCAAACCAACAACTCATGACATGCTTTATCTGCTCCACATGCAAATAAACACCAGGAGGTTGTCAGTGTCAGAGTCACACTATTGAGAAGATGCCAGTTTACAGAAATGTAATCTCCTCTCTAACAGTCAATTCTCAACATCTGTGAAGTCTGATAGTGGCCACCACAGTTAGGTGGAGTAGCCAAAAAAATGTACTTAAGTAAAAGTACTCTTACTTCAGAATAATATTACTCAAGTGGAAGTAAAACGTAGTCATCCAAATAATTACTTGAGTAAGAGTAAAAAAAGTACTGAGTAACTGTTGAGTAACATTTATTTTTTTAGATTTTTTTTTCAACGTGTATTCAATCGGAAAAAAATTACAGAGGAGAGTTTATCCCGTCAACAAAATAATAAAATGAATTAAATACCTTAAAATAAAATAATCTTTAGTTTAAGTTTTAAGTTAAAGTACTTCAATGGAAAAAATAAAAATCAATGAATGAAATAAGAAAAAAAAATAAAAATCAATGAATGAAATAAAAAGAGATAGACACAAAGAATGAAATATTTACAAAATAACTTCAATTACAGCACAGCACAACAAAAACCTCCCAACCTCTGTGGATAAAAACACGTCTTTGAGGCTACAAGCAGATCGAGCTCAGCACGGAGTACTCACGTAACCTAACAGGACAAACATTCGCCTATCCACAGCAAATAAAAAAAAAAAAAAAAAAAAAAAATTTGTAGGTCAAACTTGCAACCGCAACATGTTTCTTCAGGTTGGACGATGAGCTTTTGGAAGCTGAAATATCCGTACGTTTTCTATTTCTATTTATATGTTTATGTTTTCTATTTCCATTTTTTTATTTATTTATTTTTGCTTTGGTCAATCTTGACCGCCAAACTAATCCGCCCCCCTCCCCCCGAGATCGAATATGGTCACGTGACGAGACTGCGCAGCAAGGGCTACATTTTATTGGTTTACAGTCGCGCGGTACAGCCCTTGGGCGAAAGTCACTCTCTGACAAAATAAAAGTAGAGATACTTGATCATAGATCTATTGAGAATAGAGGATATAGCTCGAGCTTTATCTGAGTATCAAGCTCAGTATAGCCTAATGTAGCGGAGTAAATCTACTCCAGTAAAAGTTAAAAGTATAGTGATTTAAAACTACTCTTAGAAGTATTTTATTTTGACAAACCTACTCAAGTAAATGTAACTGAGTAAGGGTAATTTGTTACTAGCCACCCCTGGTGGCCACTGCAGCTACTCCCTAAGGTAGGGCTGTGCATAATACAGACCCGTGCCCCGCAGTGACATGTAGGAAGTGTGTGGGTGTCGGCAGGAACCAGAGGTTTCTCTCTCAGCAAATGTGATGCCAACCTTCACCTAACCACCTCTATCATTTCCTGGTCACAGACACAAGAGGCAGGGTACAGAGAGAGAGAGAGAGAGAGAGAGAGAGAGAGTCTGTTTTTAGCCAGAGAATCCTTTTTCTACCTGTCACCGTTACCCCCACCCTCTCTTTCTCTTTCTCTCTCAGTGGAGACTGGGGATGAAGTGTCTGGGTGGATAAGCCGTGACATGACGACAGCGCAACGGCCTCCGTCTTTGTTCTGCTCTGGTCCCCACGTATCCCTTTCTATCTCTCTTTGCTGCCAGTGTGCAGTTTATTTTTCTTTGCTCTAAATATTTACAAATGAAAAGGGGCCACGTAACACAGGAAGGCAGCTTATTTTACAGGAAAAACACGAACACAGCTGCCATAGTAACGTTTACTATGGCAGCTGTCTTGTGTTTTTCCTGTCTCCTCCGTCAACGAAACGAAAAAGTATATTTCATCTCGATTAATTGCTTGATTGTCTATAAGTAACCTTGTTGTAAGTTCGTAGAGTGTTCACAGAGAGTTTATAATTCATAGACCTTCAAAATAAAAGCTTGTTCTTTCTCTATATCGTGGTTCTCCTTTCGCTCCCTCGGTACATGGCGGATAAAAGACATTGTAGAATATTTATACATACGGAAAGTTTTCGCTATCAAAATGTGGATTCTCGTTTTGAAATTGAGACGAGCGCATTTGCGAACGATCGCTGGTAGCGTTGTTTACCTGGACGAGATTGTACACGGCATACCATTGGCCAATTGAGCATGCTCTTCTGTCGCTCAAGACTGATTGGCTAATGCATCATAGCATATCTCAGCGTCTCCCCTTGTCTGTCGGCCGCTCTCTCGTGTGGTAGGTTTGTAAAGGGGAAATATATATACCGTATTTTCCGCACTATAAGGCGCACCTAAAATCTGAAAATTTTTTCAAAAGCTGACTATGCGCCTTATAATCCAGTACGCCTTATATATGGATCAATACTGAGCCGCGACAGGTCTCGCAAGAGAGTTTAACGTTAATGAATCGATGGTGCGGAAGTGGAGGAAGCATGAGGATGAGCTGACTGTTTTGTTGACATCCCCTTTAGTGCGGCACCATCTAATGGTTGCATAACGTAACTGCAGCCTCTACTGTAGCGCCTTATAATGCGGTGCGCCTTATATATGGAAAAAGTTTTAAAATATGTCATTCATTGAAGGTGCGCCTTATAACACGGTGCGCCTTACAGTGCGGAAAATACGGTATACGTAAATAGTATAATAACTATATTGCCTCTACTTTGATTTCGCATTTCGCGGTGGGTGTTGGGACTACCACGGATTACTGTATTCTCCTTCAGTGTACTCCTATCTAGTGTACTCTCATCCGGTGAAGTCTCAAGTGAACTCAAGTTAAACAGGAGTTGGTATTGTCACAGGTATGGAAAGGACCGAGAGCACTTAGCGCCAACCTTTACTCGTACTGGATGGATTTCTGGGACAATATGGAAACCCCGCGAGGAAAGTCAAAGGAGCTAGGAACTGTATCAGGGATTGCTTTTCGCTAATACTTCAGTGGTTACGAATAACTACATTATAAATGCAGGTGGTTGCAAATTTACTGTCCATGTCCTATCCCGGTCGTGTTACCACGGATTACTGTATTCTCCTTCAGTGTACTTGCCTCTACTTTGATTTCGCATTTCGCGGTGGGTGTTGGGACTACCACGGATTACTGTATTCTCCTTCAGTGTACTCCTATCTAGTGTACTCTCATCCGGTGATCACTCAAGTGAACTCAAGTTAAACAGGAGTTGGTATTGTCACAGGTATGGAACCTTTACTCGTACTGGATAGATTTCTGGGACAATATGGAAACCCCGTGAGGAAAGTCAAAGGAGCTAGGAACTGTATCAGGTATTGCTTTTAGCTAATACTTCAGTGGTTACGAATAACTACATTATACATGCAGGTGGTTGCAAATTTACTGTCCATGTCCTATCCCGGTCGTGTCGTGACACCCATCCCGAAAAAGTGCTAATCAACAATCCCATTTCTGCAGGATTAAAAAAAAAAATTGGTTTGCATAACGAAATAATGAAATAAAGAGATAATGACGTGTTTACTCCCACGGCACCAAATTACGACACATTATTCAGCAGGTGATCGTGATATTGCCGCACAGATCCTGTCTTTCATCTTTCTCCTGGCTACTGCTCTTTGTCAATATGTCGCGT